TTAAGAACCTCTCATGGCATTCTTCTTTAATGCAGGTTAACTTATAAACTCCTCCTTCCACTCATCTTTTTCTTTCTCTCTTACGTGAACTGAGAATTGTGCATGCAGAGGGATATAGAGAAATAAACTTTCCCTCTTAGTATAGAATTATTTTGTAACAGTTAGTTCATTCAACATACTGTGTAATTGTTAAAGCTATACAGATAGCACCATTGACGCCAGATGACCTACAGCAGAAACCGGACAAACCCTTGCGGCTGACAAATTGGTGGGGAAGAAATAAAACCAGCTTCACAGCAATGGCGATGGTTGTCACTCCAACTCTTTTAGTCTCAACAACAGTTCCAGATGCATTCTCTGCTGCTACAGATATTGCTGTAAGTTAAGAGGACCATAAGTTGGCTTCATGAAATGGCATTCAACCTTGGGCCTTTTTTTGATCTTTTTGCTGGTAAATTGATGCAGGGGGGATACTGCATGACAATGCTGTATGGAGTTCTCCCACCAGCAATGGCTTGGGCCATGCAAAACAGAGAAGGTGAGGATTCTGATCAGAAGGCATTAACGAGACCCAAGCCTGCACTTTTTGGAGTAGGACTATTTGCCTGTGCGATAGTGGTGGAGCAAATCCTACTGGATTTCTTGGCGTTGCATTTCTGAGAAGGATAAACATGCCTCCTCCTGCCTCTGTCTGTATTATTATACCAGTTGCTTAACTGACACTTGCAATTTGTTTAATAGTCCATTTAGCAATAGTCTTTGGAATATATTAAAGGTTGTTTCCATTCCTTCCCCCTGTTTCCTGGAAAATATACTAGCACAATTGGGAAAGAAGTTTGGTGCTTAAGCTCAGGATTGATTGAATAAGAGAGCCTGACTGGCACCTTCTGTAATACTGGCATCTCTTCCATTTATAAACTCATTTTACCTTTGATCTATTTGAACAAATAGAAGAAATTTTGCTGTATTGACAAACAGGTTCCAAATACTTCTATGTAGTGCCATTGGATTGGCGGGAAGTTAAAATGCATAACTCATCAAGAATAGAGATCAAGTTCCAGGAACTGATTTGGAAAACCTATGTGATAATTGTTTTCCATTAATAAATATAAAGAGAAATGATGTCATGGTGCACACATCGAACTTTATTTCAGAACAGGAAATGATCAACCAATACATGTTTGAAATAATGACATTAAATTGTAGCCAAACATGAGCTCAATGTTTTGACATTAAAATACAGGCATGAAGGCAGTAGACAATTAAACCTTCAGATGGAATGTCCTAGTTCCTCACAGTTGTGACATGCTTCAAAAGCATCTGTACAACATCGTGTGATATCCGTGCAGCTTCATTCTTCAAGTGATTGATCTTTGCATCTGTTTCTAGCTCAAGCCGCTTCACATTGGCCCCTGAGTCTCCACTACTCTGTATGGTAATCCGTGAATACACCTTAGTTAATATTTGAATCACAGATACTTGGGTCTCAAAACAATTCTATCATTTAGAGTTCAGTTGCATCATAAATAAAGATTTCACATAACTGTGGAAATAGCAAAAGAAACCCAGGAAACATGCAAATGAACGAAGTTAAAACTGAGTAAATACTCAATCAAAAATTCTGAGAATCTAATCAACATACAGATTCCACAGACGATTCAATTATTTTTAAATTTTAATTACTATTGTGATGAAAGCCAAAAAAGGGTTGGCAGCTCATAGCTAAGATTTTTAGCACATTGCTGTCATTTGAACAGATAAAAAATCAATATTTTCCATTTTTTTTAAGTTCACTAGTTCATACCTCTGCTACCTTCTTCTGAAACTCATACTCTGCTTGAGCACGAAATTCAGTAATCTCTTTCTCTGCCTCTTCCTTGGCCTGTTTTAGTCTAGCCATTTTTGCTAGATAAATAAAAAAAACGAGTCAACAACAGGAGCTCCAGAAAAAGCAATGACGACCACAATAAGAGCAACCAAGAAAGCCAAATCAACTACTCTTCTATATTTACTACATATATTAGTCTTCATGAAATGGTAGTAGCAATAACCAAACGGCAAAGCATTATAGTTATGATATTTTATGATAGAAGAGGTGTGATCTGATTTGGCACTAAAAGACCAGGAGGAAAGGCTGTATGTTGTGGAAAGTATTACAACCAATTTAATTGAGGATACATTTTCAAATTAGGTGCGTGTCTTTGTTGTTTAACCAAGTGTCTATATCAAGTGAGATCATGGGTGCAAAATATGTTCTGTAATTATCAAATATAGCTTCTAAACAAATAAACAGAACCGCCACAGAAACTAGCATCTCATTATTCTTGAACTATGATTGCATCAACGCAACACAACAAAAAATGCATAACGATTAGAAAATTTCACAAGTCCAGGTATGAGAAATATAGAAAATGAGATAAGTGCTTACCATTTCTTGCTGTATTGACAATGTGCTGAGCTTCTTGTTCTGCAGCTAGCAGCTGTTGAATACCGTTCTGCCCCCTGCTGGCTTCCATACTTGCTGAATTTTGTTACGGGTACTCTGAAATTAAGAATTGATTTTCTTTATGACAAAAATAGTACTTTAATAAATGAATAAATTGCAATAAAACCTAGTAACAAAATAAACAAAACAAAACAAAACCATCGGAATGACAGCATCAAAAAGTAGCAAAATTGGGGTACTCAAGCGTTGGAAGTTAGTAATCAAGAAAAGAATAGTCAGAGGTCAAGAGAATAAGAATAAGGGGGAGGAAACACAGCCTCCAATAGAACAGAGACATAGGATGGTTATATCTTCAAATGCGGTTTCAGTGGTCACTAAAAGCATTCCGTTGTGTGCATGAAAGCATACATATAAGGCTGCACATGTGTTTAGCAACTTCATAAAATTCATCAGGGATCTTTATTTTCTATGAATATATACTGCGGCAACGAAGAGAAGGTGCCAACATTTTCCAAGATCAATAACATCCAGCATCATCAAAGACCACTTTGACTTGATAGAATGGAACACTTAAGTTTCAGACAAAAAGTCTTCATTTCACATCCCAAAACTTAAAATCAAATCACTAAATTTTTTCACAAAAGTCATCAATTTCAATTGGCATTTTAGATCCATAGCCAAATTAAAATTCAAAGAAACCTTCAAGACCCCAAGGACCAAATTTTCAAGCCTACTGCAGATTAAATTTGTTTTCATGGCAATACACTACATTTTTCACACTACATTTTATGTACAGATCCAAATCCATCATCACATAAAAATATTATAAATAACATTATTTGATCATCAAGATAAGTTACAATAATGCCATAACCACCACCACCAACAACAACAACAAATAACCAAAGTTTAACTCTTTTAATTCAGAATCAGCAATCTCCTTCCAAAATATCAAAAACCCATTTTATATTAGCTCATATACAATATCATTAAAATGACGAACATCATAAACGAAAATTAAAACTCCAATTTTAAAGCAAATTCGTATTAATAACTAACCCATCGAATCTAGGTCCATACAAAGGCAGGGAAAAAAAAAATACCCATCAATGTTTTTCCATTGAAAAATTAAAAATTTATGTTTATGTCAAGTAGCCATTAACTGAATTGCCAGATCAAAGTTGAAAAATTAGAGCTTTAGATTTATACAAGTCAAATCGAATTACTGAGTTACAAAAGTAGTGATCTGGTGTATAAAACAATAGCAAATTATGGGAAATGAGAAAATGATAGAAAGTGTGAAGAAAATGTACAGAAATCTAAAGAGAAAATCAAGAGTGAGAGACGGCGTACCAAAAGAACCGGTGTTTTTGGTTGAGATTTAACGAGAAAATTGAGGGGGTGGCGTTCCCTGCTTATTCAATAGAGATTCAAAATCCCAAAAAAGAAAAGAATAATTGAGTTTATCAAATGCCTATTGTGCCCTTGTTTGTATTTGCAAATTACAGGTATGGGAACTCTATTTTGACACGTAATATTGAAAATTTTCTCTTCTTTTTTTTTTTACGCATTGCCATTTGTGAAAAACATTAAAATAAAATTTTAATTATTTATTTTACAAATAAATAAAATATTTATTCACTAATAATAATGAATTATGGAAAATATATCAAGCCCTTTTTCTACTTCTATATATATATATATATATATTCTCTTATTTGTCTCCTTTTTATATGCTCTTTTCGCAGCTAAATTTTGATCCAAAAAAAGATGGTACTAATTACTAAAGAACAAATCCAAAGGGGTCCTTTGGATACTCGCAAGAAGCTTCACTCTGCTAGAAGTTGAATGACTTTAAAATATCTTTCGCCATGTCTATTCTCTTTTTTGTTCCTATATATCTGAAATAATTTTAGGAGGCAATGCAATGAGTTACTATATGTATAATATACTTTGTTTCTATATGTAAGATATACTTTTTTATCTAAATTTTAAATTTAAACCTTCTGTTATATCAACTCTAACCGTTTAATCTTTTTATTCTAATTTTAATAAATTTAATTGTTACAATTTTATTAAAAATAGATTTAAAAATAATTAATAACAATGTTATTTTTTTTTAATATGGATGATAGCGATATTTTTGTGATGACTTGTAATGTTAAGATAAATTAATTTGTTTGACTATATAACATATTTTATAAATTTTACATCAATAAACGATAGAGTAGATCTTGAGAATATAAATATGAATCTTTCATTACCTATCAATTATATCTTTTGAGTTGAGAACATGATTCCGTGATTTATAAACTTACTTAAACTTTATTTTTAGAACTTAAGATTGTACAAGGTTGGCTTAAATTTCGGCTTGTAACAAGTAGCATTCGGCTTGTAACAAGTAGCATTAAAACAATAATAAGTAGTATTAAAGCTGACTTAAATCTTCACTGATGTAAGGCTCTCATGAAACATATAAAGATAATCCAGACCTCTCATGAGAGATACAAGAGTTGAGGTAGACTTGAATTAGTACAGTATAAAGTCTCTCTTCTCCGTGGATAAAGAGCCAGTGCAACAGGGACATTGTATACTTGGATGGGGTAGAATCAATAAGGGATAGGATGGGTCTTTGGAATATGGGTTTTTCACCATCTATCAAGCATGGAATATGGGTTTTTCACCATCTATCAAGCATGTCTTTTAAGTTATAAATATAAACATATCTTTTAAGTTGGGAACGTAAGCCATTGATTTATAAATTTATTTAAACTCTATTTCTAGACTTTAAGGTTGCATAGGATTGGGCTTAAGTCCAAATCTGTGACACATATCAATATCAAAACTATTATATTTTATTTTAATTAAATAATGATTAATATTACTTTAAATTTCTAAATATTAGTTTTTTATTAAAAATAAAGTTATTTTTATATGTATCACATCATAAAAAAAAGATAAAATACCTTGATTTTCCAAAATTTTGATTGAAAATACATAGAGGTACATTAGTTTTTGAAATAAATACTCTATTTTAAAAAAATATTTTTTGTTCGACACGTAAGTACAGTTGTTAATCAATCGTTAGTATTTTCGTCAACTTACTAATATGTTAAGAGTAAAATGATAATTTTATCCTTAATTAATTTTTATAATAACTATTAAATAATTTTATTATTTATTGTTATTTTTTTATTAATTAAAAAAAAAAGCTCCCCATGGGGAACACCAAAGCTCCTGTGGGGAGCCCCGATGATGGGGAGCCTGATGCTCCCTTAGGGAGTTCCGATTGAACTCCCAAGGGGAGCACCAAATCGGGCTCCCTAAGGGCGCATCGGTGCTCCACTCCTTTGGGGAGCACCGATCGGTGATGTGTGCTCTTTTTTAAATTTTTTTTTAAAAAATATAATAATAATTTTTAAATTAAGTAAAAAAATATTGTTTTAGTTTTTTTATAATTTTTGTTAACTGTTTGTGTTTTTGAAATGAAGTGTTTATTTCAAAAATTAATAAATCTTTGTGTAATTTCGATTAAAATTTAAGATATTTAAATATTTTACGGTAAAAAAATTTTAAATTAGCATGTCCTTTATTGATAAAAAAATGTAAAATCAAATTCAACTATAAAAGTTTAATAAGATTATCAATTATTTTTATTAAAATTAAAATAATTAAAACCGCAAAATTATAACAATAAACGGATCAAATTTAGACTTCAATATATACTCTTCAATCATCATGAAAAGGCTGGAATTTTTGTTTCTAAAAGAGATATCAATGCTTGGACAAGTTTTTCATGAACAAGAAAATGTTAAAAGATGGTACTAAAACAAAACAAATGACTAATTATTGGGGCAATATTGATGCGAATAACATTATTATAAAAAGAAAAATCTTGTATTATGAAATTGTATATATTACAAAAACTAACTAATAAGCAATGATATAAAACTAAATTTAATTTAATTAATTAATAGTATTAGGATTTCAGTGGGAGCAGTTGCCCTCTTGATCGGCAAAGACTAATTTAGGCTAAGTACTTAAACATGTTTGCGTTCTTCTTGTCTCTTTCCAGATATTCTCGTGTGATGAGGTCTTCAATCTGCCTCTTGATGGCTTTAATGTCAGGCTTGAACATCCGACTCAACTGCTCAACACACTCTGACACTAACTGTTGGTTGCCCAGAACTTTCCGACTCTTCATTATGCGCACAATTGCAGCATCGATAGCGTAACACCGTTGTTTACAGACATCATCCACAACTTTCTTCCTTTCATCCACCGGAGGGAGAGGGATCTTAATCCTCCTCAGCTTGTCGGTGAACTTAGAGTTGAACTCAAAGTAGTCACTTTGGGAGATGGTCTTTGTGTTCGGCTCTTTACTTAGGATCTTGTACTTGGCACATGACAGCGAATGAAGTAATCTGACCAAGTCATCATGGGTCAAGTTCAACTGAGCCATGATCTCTGAATAGCTCAGAAGATCAGAAGCATTGAAAAGCAGAAGGACAGCAGCCTGGTAAGTTGAGACTATCAGTTCAATAGTTTTCTGCTCGAACTTGCCACTAATGTGGCAGGTTCCCAGTGAGTATATCCATGTCAGCCTTCTGTGTTTTGTTTTTGTTTCGTAAAACCCTTTGAAAACTTCTACGCACTTGACCATCTCAGCAGGGAGATGGAGATCAGATGACTTGTAACTTGGCCAGAATCCTGTGGTAAGAACAGTAACTGTTAAATCAATCCCAGGATGTGCAGCTGAGTTACTCCTCAGATAGTCCTCAAAGTTGGCCTGGTTTTCTCTTGCCAATGTCAAATCTGTGACCATGCCCTCCATCTTCGAAGTGAACTGTCCACCACGTTGCTGCTTTAGCTTAGTCAGAATACTCCTTTCGCGATCGTCATTAGCACTGCGGTCAAAAAGCAGTCGCCGAGCAAGCTTCTTTCTGTAGAATTCGGCAAAGAGGTCTTTGTCACTGATATAGGCAAGCAGCTTAACTACATTCTCAAATGTTTCTTCAATGGCTTCATCACTTAATTTCTCACTTCCTCCCTTCTTGAGGATATCATCACAGAAAGTTGTCAAAAGCTCCGCACTTGAGCTGCCAGCAACAGTTTCGTTGCAAACTACCTCGAAAGCCTCTTCCAAGGCCTTGCGGAACAGAGCATGGTTTCCAAAACAATCAGTCACATACTCCATATACTTGTGGTGCAACTCTATTATTTTCCTGATGAGGACCTGTTCCTGCACACCAGCTGCAGCATTTGAGGCTTTGCTACATGCAGCATTTGAGGCTTTGCTACATGCAGCATCTTCCGCCTGTTGAACCAAAGCTGTACCCTCAGCAGTAATATGCTGCTTGAATATATCGGCAACAAGTTCCAAGCCTAGAGCTATTTTACTATAAAGCCTGTATATCCTGGAAAGATCCTCCACCTTGTCACCTCTAAGCAAGACCCTGCATCCAGAATGCTCCTTATTATCAAGTAGCTGATTAACATGCGTCACCAACAACTCATGTTGCGCTTTCTCTAACAATTTTGTCTCACTACTTGAATCCAGGTAATGACCCACTCTGTCCCTTTCCTTCTTCAAGCACTCTTCAGACTTCAACATGTAATCTGGACAAGAATCTTCCAGAATCCAGTTTGATGCCTTGCGTGAATAGTAAGCACTAGTATCCTGAAGCATGTGTGCTTCAAAATCTTCCTCATAACGGTCCATCTGTCCCATCCCAATCTCAACAAAAACATGCAACACATTCTTCAATAAAGCTCGGTCTACCTGCTCTCCTTCACGTTCTTTATCAATAAGAGTAATTACAGCATCTCTGACTTTGACATGCACGTCCTGATATACCAGATCACGGAAGTAGCGCAGCCCAACTTCTTTAAGAGAAGGAAGCGATCTACAGGCAATCAAGTGGCGATCAAGGTAATAGAAGAGGTGTGATAGCCACCTGACCATTACTTTATGGTTAGCCCATCTCTTAACAAGCTCCTTCAGCATGAACTCATCCTGCTTCTCTCTTATAGATGGCAATACCATCGAAGTAATATACCCTTGTATTGCCTCTCGGTACTTGTCGTAAATCTGTTGAGTATGATCATGAGGAGGCGATTGAACACACATGTTGTAGATAGTCGTGTAAAGCTTCATGTATTCTTCTGAGTTAAATGGCGGCTCTGGCCGACCTTCCAAAACCGTCTGAATCTTTGTGATCCCATCCTGCATATAACCCAATCCCTCTTCTAATCCAATAATCTTGCGATTCATTGTCGTAAAAGAGGAGCTCAGGTTTCTTCCAATTAAAAATCAGAAATACAATCGAATTTGAGACTACTTCTGCACACACACGCACACAAAATCCCTAAACCTAACGGAAAAGTTAATGAAAAAAATAGAGAAAGACAAACAGACTTTGTTGATGCTCAAAAAATTGAATATATACATATATACATACATACATATATATATA